GTTGATTCTAAATGCATTAACACACCATTTAAAACTCTAAAATCACCCAATGTGTTATGTGTTCCCCAAAAAGAGAATCTCATTTCATGTGGCCAAACTATGCAAATCTAATAGGATTTCTGTTGAATTTTTTCCCTCTTATTTTGTTGTGAAGGATCGTCGAATGGGGGCTCGTCTCATGTAGGGGGAGAACCATGAAGATGTTTATCATGCCATACTACCATCCAATCTACAACTCAACCTCACCATCAAAGCTTCACCATTCCACTGGCATCACACCTTCGGTCACCCTTCCACTAGAGTTCTCAAGGGAATCCTTTCAAAATTAGGCCTTAGCTCTAAACTTTCTGATATGCATTGTTCATCCAGTTAGTTAATAAAATACATAAATTACCTTTTCTCTCCAACTCATTTATCGTTACAAAACCACTACAATTGATATACTGTGATGTGTGGGAACCTGTCCAAAACTCCATTGACCGCTTCACCTATTATGTTATTTCCATGGACTTCTCCAAATATGTATGGTTCTATCCAATGAAAAAAAATTAATGTAGCCCTCATATTTCCTAAATTCAAACTCTTGGTCGAGAAGTTTTCCCATAAACCCACTGTAGCAATATTTACTGATAATGGTGGTGAATACATAGGCATCTCACCCTTCTTAAAAAAAACATGGTATTTCTCACTACGCCACTCCTCCTCATACACCTGAGCAGAATGGTATAGTTCAACGACGCCATACACACATAGTTAAAATGGGTTTAGCTCTTCTTCATTATGCTAAACTTCCCTAAAACTTTTGGTCTCATGCCTTTGAAACATCAGTATACCTAATCAATAGGCCGCCCACACCTATTCTCAGTAACCACACTCCTTATGAACATATATTTGGTCAATCTCCAAACTACAACAAACTTAAACCTTTTATTTGTTTGTGTTATCCACGGTGGAGACCTTATACCACCTCCAAACTCCAACAAAGATCCATTCCTTGTATCTTGATTGGATATTGTACCTCAAAATCAGCTTACACGTGTTATGATCCCGCTACCCAACAATTGTATCACTCACGCCACGTTCAGTTTCTTGACACTCAGTTTCCCTTACTCTCAACCTCTAATATACCCTTACCCACACCTAATGTCTTTCTTATGTCCTCCCCTCCACCGCAACCTCCTCCCCGTTCACCTTCAACCACTACTTATCACAATTCCACCATACTCCCTCCTCTTTTTTCTCCTTAGATAGACATTCATTCTCCATCAAACTCCCATACTACAAACATAGCCTCTCCTTTGACCAAAAACTCCTCTCCTCCTATCCATTCTTGAACACACCCTGCATCTCCTACCACCTATCGTCTCACCTACTCCAGATGTAACACCAGACCAATTTCCACTCTAGCCAAACCAACACTCTCTTCTTTCCCCGTCTCACCACCACCATCATTTTCCCTCTCTGATGTATCTACCAATGAATAACCTATCTCACCTCTTGTTGATTCACCATTGACATCATATTACTCGCCTCCTTTCTCTCATCAGCCCGTACATAACAAAAAGAAAATTCCTAAATACTTTTATAAATCCTTCATTAAAACCTCCTTTCTCTTGTGCTTTTAAATGGTATATGTTTATGATATCGTTCTCACGGGTAACAACAACAATTTCATCACTCACTTTATTAGCAACTTATCAAATTGGTTTTCCATCAAAGACTTGGCACCCCTCAATCATTTTCTTGGAATTAAAGTTATTCCCACTACTAATGGCATCTTCCTATCCTAACACCATCATAGTAAAAATCTTTTAACCTAATTTCATATGGATGGTGCTAAAGATGTTGCTACTCCTCTAAACTCTTCTCAGGTTCTTCACCCCATGGACAGGTCACCAAGCATTGATCTAAATCCACAAACTGGTCGGTTCCTTGCAATACTTGGCCTTTACAAGACCAGATTTCTCCTTCGTTGTTAATTGGTTAGCTCAATTCATGCACTCTCCTTCAAAAAATCATTGGCAGGCGTTAAAATTGGTGTTGCATTATCTAAAAGGTACAATCCATCATGGGCTATATCTTATACAAGGCTCCTCTCTTGACCTAAAAGCCTTCTCTAACTCTGATTGGGGAGATACCTTGAATAGAGGTCGTTCTACCACTACTTACATTCTTTATCTAGGATCTAACATTATTTCATGGAAATCGGCAAGTCAGAAAACTATTTCTCGTTCCTCCACTGGGGCAGAATACAAAGCTTTGGCAAATACAACGGCTGAGGTTTCTTGGGTTTAGAACTTACTCATAGAACTTAGTGTTCAACAATCCTCTCCTCCTACACTTTCTTTGTGATAATATAGGAGCCACCTATCTATGTGTTAACCCAGTTTATCATTCACGCATGAAAGCTTTGGAGAATCATTTTGTACGTGAGAAAGTTGTTGTTGGCTCTTTAAAAGTTCTGCATATCAACTCTAATGATCAGCTGGCAGATGCTCTCACCAAACCCCTCAGTTGCGGCCCGTTTGTTCGTCTATGTTCCAAGATTGGAGTCTCCAATGGATTCGTCATTCAAGTTTGTGTTCTTTCTCTGTTTTATATACTTCCTAAACGTAGTGTTTGTTTGGAATTTGGAATCAGATCTAATTTTTTTGATGCTTATTTTGGAAGACTTCCATTTTATTTGACACCATAAATTGGAGAGCAATTTCCATACTTCTATGGTATATTTTTCAATTCCTAAATTTGTTTGTTCGTATTATGATTCATTGATGCTTGTTAACTTAACAAATGTTCCATAATATATGATTAGATAGGTCTAGAAACTCATCTACATATGTGAGTTACCTCACAAATGTGGAATCTAACATCGGAAGAGTACCAGATTTGGTAACTAATTCTATGTCGAGTATCATGTTTCAATGTTTCCATTTGTTGATAATATGCTGGTAGCAATTCATTTTAAACACAAAATTAAATATGCATGTAAGTTATCTTACTTATTGAGTAGTTGTAAATTATGTATGGTTATGCTTCTTTAATGTAAAAGATTCATAAATATTTTTCTCAACTTAGTTCCTTTTAGTGTGGCGTTTAGGATAGGCTACCATATTGCTATTACGACCCAAGGATAATTAAATCTAAAAGATTTAATTTACCATTATCTTTAGTATGACAACTATAAATCACTCATCAAAATGTACCAAATTTAGATCCTAAATTAGCTCCTAGACAATTGTATTTCATGGCTATATAATCCTCCTCTGTATATTGTTTTGTATAATGAAAAATATATACGGTTAGTTGTTCACATAAACCCTAATACCTTATAATTATTGCCTTTGTCTCTTTAAATTTACAAACGTTCATATATCAAAAAAATTTGAAGTATCGTTTTCAGTAGAATTTTAATAATGATGAAGAATAATACATTGTTTATTGACCTGCTAATAATATGGTCAATTTCTTTGTAGATTCGGTTTCCCGAGCACCTGCAATCTCTTTTTAATAGTCGTGTTGGGTTAATCGGTTCGTTAGTCATAGCTCACATGCATGGCTAAAACTTTAGATTTAATAATTATTATTGTTTATATTTTATGTTTTAGATAATAGCTCATTATTTAGAATTGAGATTTAGTTTAACCGGGTTTTATGGAAGTATACGGATCATTAGCCTTGAACGGTTCTTTAGGTGAAGTATAGCATGATTTCTTTCATGTTTGACATGGGTATCTTCTCGGAAGGCTATATATATAGCATATATTGATGTGAATAAATTGTGCTTTTTAGTCCTCTATATTTTATCTGTTGATTTCACATACATATATACGTGACTAGTGTGTGTTGTGTGTCTTTTGCTAAGGACATGTGCCAACAAGTCGCTGCACAAGCATGTTGTCCGGTAGATTTCATATTGTTTCATTTAGGAAATGATTGAGATTGCCAAACTATTTAAAATAAAGAGGAGACTGAATGATCTAACCTCTTTTGATTTTATATAATCTCACATATTTTTAATCTATATTTTTATAACATAACTTTAGTTTGTGAAAATTGCATTGCAGAAGTATGTAAGAACTACAGTTTGAGAAAATCATTAACCCTACATAGGACAAGTAAACATACTTCTTGGGTCTCATGATTTTATCTTTTAAACGTTGAACTAAGAGCCTAAAATTTTTTGGGGTTGTTACCATTGAAGGCTTTGACTTATGGTTATCGTTTAGAAGCTTGCGATTCAACTATCACAGAATATCCAGTGCCATTGTTCATGGCCCCAGTTATGGCCATATGCAGACCATAAGATGATAAGCATCAGATATGAAACAATTATTTTAATTTATTTATCTTATATTTACACATCACTGAATAATTATTTTCGTAGAACACTAGATAGTGATCAAATGAGGTTCGATGCGAGAAATAAAACAAATATCTCACATCATATCACTTGGAAGTGGGAACTTTAGGAATAGAAGGTTTAAAGACTGTAATGAACATGTGTATTTTGTAAAGTTGTAGGAGTTTTTGGTAAAAATATGGTGGTTTTGAAATTGATTGGTAGAAATAAGGTAGTATTTTTTTGCTTTGTAAAAATAGGTTTTTTGCTTGGGACCCCACCTGGTTTATCGAATTTAGTATTAATCAAATTTTAGATTTTACATTTTTAGTCCCTCATCTTATATTATTGTTTTTTATATAGCTTTTATTATTAAAAACTCTACTTTTTAACCTTATTATATATTATACATTAATTATTTTATTCAAATTGTATATTATACATTAATTACTATATTTAAAATTATGTTCATATATTATTTTTAGGAAACTACATTTTAAATAAATCTATTCAACACCTTCAAATAAACACCAATATTGAATATATTATATTGTTACGAAATTACAAAAGCATTTAAATATGACATTACATTACTAAATAAACATTTTTCAACATTACAAATTAAGCACACATTTAAACATAAATTAATAAAAGTACATACTTAACATGGCATTGTATCTTGGTCGAGAATTTGAACACTTTCTTCGATTATGACCAGATTGGTGGCATAATCCACATTTGCGAGGTTCATCTGGGTGGCGAATGTCCATCTCATTACGATAACGGTTTGAACGTCTCCGACCTTGTTGAACAGAGAATTTTGAGTAATGTGCTTGAATCTTCCAATCTGATTCTAACCAATAATCAACGTGAGAAAGTGGTACAAAAACATAATTATACTGATGTTTATACGTCATTGTAGTGTACACATTATTCACAATAGAAAGAGGGTTATCCCTTCTATACCGACAAACTGAAAGACGTACATCAAATGAAGGAAGGATAAAGACGTACAATATTACCACCCCAGTACAAATTAATCATAAATGGACGATCTAAACTCATACTAATAAACACCAGAATATAAAAACACCAATAAATCGTAAAATAAAAGACTACCTCAAATGAAAGAAGGATAAAGAAATGAAGAAGAGAAGAATGCTATATGTTGACATGGATGAAAAAAGCTAATGATAAAAAGAGAAATTTATAATACAAAAAATGAATTGATTAGACAATTCAGTCATTTGCTTTCTTTGTGTTTTCATGAACAATGAAAATGACTTTTAATAGACTTTTGCAGGTATGCTATCATGAATAGATATTTCGGACTTTTCAAAAAAGAACAAAAATATAAATAAAAAAAAAAACTATTCATATATTTATTAATTGTAAAAAAATCGATCAAATAAATGTAATATATTAAATATGAAATTTATTCATAGGTATTTACAAGTTCTATATTAACCCTATAAGTTATTCAAAATATTAATTAGAATTTAATTATATATTTTTAATAATAGGACTAACAACTAAAATTTTTGCTAATAAAAATTAACACACAAAATAATGAAGTAAGTTTGTTCAATTTAAAAATAAGAAACACCAATCAACCTGTGGGGCCAAAGAAATAGACCCATTTCTAAAAAAAAAAAAATATAAAATATAAAATATAAAAAAAACGCCTTATTTCTACCAACCAATTTCAAAACCATCCTATTTTTACCAAAAACTCAAAGTTACAGTAGAGGCTACAATGTTAGAAGATTAAAAGTATAAAAGGATAGAATTGATATTACAATAAAAAATCTTGTTTCTTAACGTCCGTATACTCATAATGGCAATGCTGGTTTTTTTAAGTTGAGATTGTAATTTTGATATCTCATTATTTGGAAAAATAAATAAATAAATAAATAAATAAATACTCCACCAAACCTGGTTGATCAAGGGAAAGTGACTTATTATTAAACTCATTAGACCCGGTTGTTTCATAAAAAGCCGGACTCTATTAGGACAACAGAACCTGGTGGCAAAACCGGGTTTTAAAAGCCATTTAAACTGGATTTTATAACCCTTTTTTTAGTAATGAATAATTTGATATCCCAACAGTACTCATTTGATATCAACATACAAAATACTGTTTGTACAATGTGAACCGTATTTCAACTCACCATACATCAAGTATACAAAAGAAATCTGCTTGCTTTTGATATAAATTGCTAAGAAGTGGAAACCCAGGACTTTAATACAACAATTTTACAAGTTTTTCCCGGGAAAAGCCCTGTTCAACCATGTTCAGAAATATGGCATTTCCATGCGAGGCCATTGAAGAATCTTTTGTGAAACTCACAATGACGAGTGGATTTTCTATCTTTTCACAGGCAACAGCAAGAGCATCAACTAAACAGTCTTCCTTTACACCCTTGATTAACCCCTCCACAAATGTAGAAGGCAACACGGATGCAAGATGAGGGCATCCCAAAAGATCAAGCAGATGATGATAATGTTCTCCCGAGTTTACACAGATCATGGAAAGAAGAACAGTTAATCGCAAAACCAAAATGTCATACGACTCCTTTGATTTTCTGATCCATTCCAATAAATCATCTCGGGAATTCAACATTTCCATAACAGTTGAAACCAAAGAAAGAGGGATATCCTTCATGATGTCCAAAGATACAACATGCCCAACATCTGAACCCATGCTCCATTCCTCATAAGAAAGCCATTCAACGCAAGAAGATCTTGTCATGAAAACATGACCATGAAAGCAAAATGACAAGATTAGAAGACGCTCTATAAGATATAAGAAGCATGTTGGTGACATACAGTCATCGGCTCTCATCCAACCTGAAGCAAACGTTGTCTCTTTCAGTACATTATGTAGACTTATAGCTAAATCCACATTTGTCGAACTCGATTTATCACCCTTGAGTTTATCAAACAAAGCTCTCCAGTTCAGGGAAGAACAATGTCTAACTTTTCTCATAACATCATCATTGAAGTCAATCATTCGGTATGCTAGAAATATCATTGCTATTCTCCCAAGCTGCCCACATGTTAGAGCTTTGGGCGATTTGCTATTTATGTTGATTGCTTCTTTGAGCATACTTAGAAACGCTTCATTTCCCCTCAGAGATATCATTTCTTTTGACTCTTCAGTATTCCAGCTGTTCATATTAAACACATTGATTATGAACTCATCCAGGAAAAATTTGAAAGATTGATCAACAATCCGATCAGCACGACGCCACTCATTTGGAAGCTTGCATTTTTCTAGTGATTTTGCAGCTTCAAACAAATTTGCAAGTATTTTCATACGTTGATGAATGGAGAATTTTTTCACAGTTGAATAAGCATGAATAGACTGAAGCTTTTTCAACACTTTTTCGGAAACATACAGTAGTTCCGAACACCAATATCGTGAAGCCACAGAAGAAAATTCACGAGCATCAATGATGTTAAAATGTGTGTTCCTATGCATACGTGGATTCCACCTTTTCACCCAATAGGCCTCATCATCTAGAATGACATAGCTTCCTTTCTTATCACCATCGTAACTCCTCATCCCAAAATAATTGGAAATGAAATCCGTGTATATTTCACTATCTTTGCCACTGTGATCCCATGTAGAGCACCAGTTGATTAGTTCCATAATCAATTCCTTCCAATAACTCCAAAAGTAAATCAAACCTTCAAATGAGACAACATTGTTTGAAAACTCGGTTTCTAAATGCTTAAGTTTCACATCATCAACCCATGTTTCAATACTAGCATTGACACTGCAATCCAAACCAAAGTAAACATCAAGAATTCTTCGGGAAAGCAGATAGTGTATCCTAAGGCTTCTTTCTTTTGGTGTGTCACTCAAATGCCTCCACATCTGGTGTAAGCTGATTTCTGCACTTGATAAAATGCTTATCTCTGTTCGCACCAATGCAGAATCGTTTGAATAAGGATCACACTCCACATAAAAGTTTGCATCATGCAGGAGCTTGTTTTTCTGTTTAAAGTGCTTTAGTGGCCATGCTCGATTCCCATGAGCCCAAAGAGATCCAAAGAAGACATACCAAAGTCTACTCAATGCTTCTTCAATTGATTGATTATCTTCTTTACCACAGTTTGCTGCTTCTACAAACTTTCCACGTATTTCTAGTAGTATCGGAAGCTCATTTATACGGTTTACAGACTTTAAAAAGGAATGCATTAGGTGAAGCACATCTTTTTCAATTTTTTCTACTTCATCAGTCGTCTTCACGTGCTTCAAGCTCATGGCTAAAGGATTTTCTTTGTAGCAATCTATGAACTCAAGTCCTTTTATTAATAACTCTTCTTGATTTTTTCCTTCGGACAAAATGTTCGCCTCTTTGCACACAAACTGATAGAAGAAATTAGATTCACTTTCTGCGATTACAACAGCCTCACGTAGTAATTCATCCTTCTGCCTAAAAGGTTCATCCGTGTTTTGAAGAACCACAGAGTTCATGAAGACATGCCATAGGATTAGAAGTGATGATTCCCTATGAACTCTATACATGCGAGTAAGGTCAGCTTTCGGATCTTTTTTAAGCCTTGAGACCTTTGCAGCTTCTTCAAAGTTACCCCATTCTATTTCCAGCAATATCAATTCATCAAAGCACCTCTTTTTTGTTAAGAAGATCATCATCTCATCCCTGGAGTGGAAAGAGCAAACAAATGTCATCATACTCTTGAAATCTTTGACACCTAGATAGTAAAGAGCACATTTGTCAAGCACATGTTTTTCAATCTTTTGTATCTCATGATTCGTCTTCACATGTTCAACACTCATAGCCAAATCGTTATTTATGTAGCAATCTATGAACTCATGGGCTTTCTTTAATATTTCTTCTTCAGTTGTTCCTTCAGACAAAATCCTAGCTTCTTTGCACACAAACTGAAAGAAGTCATCAGAGATGCTTTCAGCAAACAAAACAGCCTTCTTTAGCAATTCACCCTTCTGTGTAAAAGGTTCATGTGCTTTTTGAAAAACTGGAGATTCCAAAAATACATGCCACAAGATAGTCAATGACGATTGCCTGTGAAATCCACCCATGTAAAGAATGTCAGCTTCAAGCAAAGGATCGGGTTTGAGTCTTGCCACCTTTGCAGCTTCTTGAATGTTGCCCCATTCTACTTCCAGTGATATAAGTTCATCAAAGCATCTCTTTTTTGTTAAGAATTTCCGCATCTCATCCTTTGAGTGAAAAGAACTAACAAATTTCATCATTCTTTTCAAATCCTTGACACCAAAATAGTAAAGAGCACCTTTTCTCAAAAACTCTTGCTCAGCAACCCCACATCCTCCCCATTGCTCTAGTAACCGAATACCCATTTCAAATAAATTTCCATCAGAGCAAGCAGAAAGACACTTTGCAAAAGCTCCAGCCTTCTCATATTCCTCAGCTGCACGTTTACATGATTTTGAATGTGAATATCAGATAAAACAGATAATAATACAAACCACAAGAAACAGACGTACAAATGTTGGGGACCAAATCTTCAACTTATTTCTCCATTCGTTTTACAAATGTTCATTATATGCAGTGGGCTAGTATTTCTTAAAGACTTAAATCATGTATCCATGTAAATCTTATAGGAAGAGATAGTTTAATTGTTGACTTCAAAAATTGAATCGATTTCACAAAGGAGGTAGTGTAAAAAGAAAGTAAAAGATTACCAGCTGTTTTATAATCCTCCATCTCATAGAAGCACTCAGCAGCCAACATATGCTTTCCAAGAGATTGAAATAGCTCAGCAGCTTCCTTAAAGACCTTCTTCCTTTCAAGCTCTGAAGTGTGGATACCTTCAGCAATTACACGGAGTTGATATGCTTCTGCCAATCTTTCAGAATACTTGTCCTCAGCCTTCATGAAGCACATCTTTGCCATTCCAAAGTTATTCTCATAATATAGCTGCAATTAAATAAAATAGATATCATTAAAAACCTCGACACAAACAAATTTCTCAATGCCTATGGTTATAGATCAGACCTTTAAGCCACGTGATCTCCACTCGTCTATACTGCTTGGAATTTTCATTTCTTCAGCAAAAGAATCATCCAAATGTTTGACTTCAACAAGGCTTAACTTTTTCCAGTAATCAAAGATTGGTTGAGAGAAACCTGTAGTTTCAGAAATCCATAATCTCTGTCTTGTTCGAGTGATTGCTACATACAACTGCTTAAGTTCACTACATAAAACAACGTGCTTTTCCATATCGAAAGATGAAGTACACATTACAATAGAGCTCATGTTGAGGTCTTTTTCCTTCATATACTCGTAAATGATTCGCCATTCATTTGAGAAAGATGATGTAGTGAAAAAGTCATATAACAATACGTCCTACAAAACATGAAATGTAGAGTTGAGTGCATCATAATGTTTTGCTTTTGTGGTCATACAAATAATTTAACTCCATCTTAAGATTTGCAAAACAAATAAAAGATTCATTAGTGTTTTAATTACCTGAAATTCTAAGCCCTTAGACTCCATGATTGTTAGAACAAGGGCATTCTTGCCAACAATATTGACAACCTTCTCTTTAAGATATTCATCCCTAACTAAAACAACTTGCTCAGCACCAAATCCAATGACTTTCTGATCACTTCCAACTTCATTGGTTCCAAATATTGTTTTAATAGCATTATCACCTGTATCAGTTTCAAGAAGAACAGGTAGTTCCCCACTTATTCGACTACTTTCTGGCCTCAAAGCATCAACAAACAAAGGAAAAAACTTGCAAAGAAGGTCGATAACACTTTGGGCTAAATTTAAAACTCCAGTATGTGTGCGAAAGTTCTCGCTTAATTGAAATATTCTTGACATTGTTCCCTTTTCTGAACCCAAAAGGAAGTGGCTAAAAAACAATAACCTTATATCTTCGAATCTGAATCCAATACCCTTTGCTATGGCTTGGGCTGTATCTCCACAAAAAGCATAGCCCTCTTGAACATTTGTACAAACGTATTTGAAAAGCAAAATCTGCCTCATTGTAAGATCTTGAACTTCATCAATATACACATAATCCATAGAATCTCCCTTGTACCCTTCAAATTCAAGCCTTTGATGAAGATCATTCACTAAATCAGCCAAATCGAAATTTTCTTTTTCCAGTTTTATCTTCTCATACTGAACAAATATCGCATAGATCATTTCTCTCTTTTGTGCATCCAAAATGGAAGTTCGGGCATCACAAAGAGCAACATAATCTTCTCTAGATAGGATCCCATTGGGAGCCTTTCCTGCCATTAATCCACCCTTTATGACAGACATTATTTCAGTATAAACTGTGGAGGTGTCAAAACTTTTTCTCAGCTTATTGTTGAAGTGATGCCAGTAAAGTGAAGAAAATCTCTCATAAGTAACATCCTTTAACCTCATATATTGTTCCAAAACACTGAGTCTTGAGTTACTTGTGTTATTGCCACAAAGAAGCTTCCTAACACAAGGAAATCTCTCAAAGTATGATCTACCAACTGTTCCATCAAGCATCAGTAGGAATCTATGGAATGTTATAATAAGTGGATATTTGTTTTGAGGAAGATGAATAAAGTGATCTGGAATATCTTCAGACAACATCATTTTATCAATATCATCACTAACCCCTGAGCTGCTTTTGGATGATGAACTACCCCCACATGTCAAACTGGATATTTCAAAAAGTCATCATCAGAGATGCATTATATTCATCTTATATAGTCATCTTAGTGGTGTAATTACACCAAAAGTAACTTCATTAAAGCAAGTTTGGATTGGTAGTTACAGTAAAGTACAGATGTTAAAAAACTTCTTCTCATATTTAATTTAAGAGTATAAGCAAACAAACAAATCTAAGATGACATAACTTAATTAAATTAAAGGTTGTTACTATTTTCATACAAATGGACATAGTGACATACCTATTAAATTCACCAACTTGCTGTTTCACTGCATAGCAAAGTCTTGGACTCAGAGTAACAAAAAGTTGATGTAGCACATCTTGCTTCACCTCCTCATTGATTTCCATGTTTTCATGAAACCCTTCACATGCTAAATGGTGAAGCTGTTCCTTTCTGAATAATTTGGTAGTTAACACTGTAGTTTTTCCAGTTCCAGATCTTCCAAGAATGAAGCTGCTTTTGTCAAAAGAAACAACATCCTTTTCTTGTTCAGTGAGCTCAATAGGAAGCCCAAGAACCCCACCATCACATCCAGATATCATACCATTTACTGCACCATGTGAAAACTGGTAGAACTTCATTAGTGTCAAACTTTCACGCACCTTCACATTTTCAACGCCTTCATCCATAAACATTTCCTCACAAGAGTTTGTATTCTGAAATTTATACCGAGTAATTTCAGTAGTCGAAGGCCAGTTCAACGGGAACTCAGAACCCCTGGGAATTCAAAAAAAAAAAAAATTAGAAAGTTTGTAATCGTATAACAGATTAATTTGATGAAAGTAACAATGATATTTTTCATACCTTTGACCACATCTTTCCTTGCAATAGTTAATATACTCCCGAGTATACATCTTGATGATTCGTTCTAATCGTTTTACTAACTCTGTGATCTCATGAAACGGAAGTATATCCCAAACCTTCAAGGCTTGGACATAATGTGAATCCTTGACAATGTCTATAGTACATAGAAGATGCGATCCTTTAACTTTGAATTCTCTCATAAGTTCAGAATATGGGCTTCCACTAACAGAAGCTGTAGTCGAACTCCTTTTGGGCCTCCAACCAGTAGAAATCTTTAGCAGCATCAGAAGTACTAGTTTTTTGGTCTCCAGTGACTCAATGTTTGAAAATGATGTTATAAACTTGCTGCTAAAGAAAACCTAGACAATGAAAGTTGAATGCATGGTGAACTAAAGGTACACAACAACATATGACATATCTATATATATAGAATTAGATTTGTTGAATGATCTTCTAATGATATATATAGAATTACTAACAGGAAAACTTTGGTACTTAGCAAATTGAACTAACAAGAAAGCTGAATTACCTTCCATGTGGTATTTTGGAAGAGTGAAGTCTCCCCAATAAGTAACTCATCTAGCTCATGAAGATCTTTCTTGACTTCGACTATGACCTTTGTGAGCTCCTTGTGTTCATCTGCTAGAAAGAAACATTGACGAGCCTTAGCCTCAAGAATTAATGGTTCCCAGTATGACCCTCCCTTCAGAAGCGCCCTTTCATCTCCTAGAATCCATAGACAGCGTCTGAAAAAGTATCAGAATGTTAATGTCATGCAATCAGTATATATAGTCCTAACAACAGTTATCAGAAAAGGAAGAAAAATATTTAAATATATATGCTCTCATAGATCCCACACCTTTCGGATTTGAAATAGTCATTAGTCTTCAGTTGTCGACTTGTCTTGACATCGTTGCATTCATCTCCATCAGCTCCAACTGTTGATATTATCGTAACATCTTCTGCGCCCTCATAATCTTGAAAAAACCCGACTTTTACCTTTAAAAGCTCATTGTTTTCGTAGTGCATTTCAACTTTCTGCTGCAGACATTGAACTTGAGCAGGGTATGGAGATAACACGGCAACGCTAATCTTATGCTTTGATGACGCACATTCTGTAACAGAATGGAACAAGTTCACAACTTGTTAGCTTGGATATTATAAGAAACGATGTTTTCTATCATGTCTTATGGAGTTTTTAGATACATAGTTTCATACCTTTACAGATTAACTGCAGTATCCGCAAAGTAACCGCAACCTCAATCATGTTTTGCATGCCATTTTCAGCATCTACAACCTCTTTTCCAGAAAAAATGTTGATGAAGGAAAATGAACCAAACATTGCACCAGGAATATAGCATTTTTGTCTAACATTAACATTGTAACTCGAAGATAATTCCATTTCTAACCTCACGAAGTTGAAAGAAACAACTTCGTTACTAATGATTCTAAGGTATCTCTCTCACTATGACTTCGATTAAAGATTTAAGTTAACGAAGCAAAAGTAGGTTAGATGGAGTGAAAGAAGCTCATTCGATTGCTCTGCTCTAAGAACCCCTGCATCTGTTTCCATCGGAAGAGATAAATGAACCGTTTTACGGTTTCCAATTTTAATCATCCCCTATAACGTATCTCACCAAGCTTCGTTGTATAGGCTTAATAATTGAATGTTGGGAATGACAAATTTCTGAGGTGCTATAGTTATCTTGTTGATGCTAGTATATTTTTATTTTTGTTAGTATTATATATCAGCATAAATAAAAAAGAGTTTTGTAACTTACGTATGATTAATATTTTACTTTTTTTTTCAGCATAAAGAAAAAAGAAATTGGACTAAAACGATCATTAAATTCTTAGAATTTGATTCGATTTAACACTAAATTTAGACTAAACTTTACAAATGATCCATGTTGTTAACTCAAAATTGTCATTTTAATCCAAAAAGGTTTGGAAATCCAAACATTTGGTTTTATTCTTAGTTTGGTTCAATTTACTTTTAATTTTTTTCAAATGATAGATTTTCCCTTATTAATTTTCTTTTCGATTTCCTTTTTATTTAATTTAATCTTTTATTTAAAATTAAATAAAAAAATATACAATCATATCCTACCTCGCTCACATACCATCTCTCTCTCTCTATCTCTCTCTCTTTCTCTCTCTCTCTCTCTCTCTCTCTCTCTCTCTCTCTCTCTCTCTCTCTCCATTGCTGACGAACCACCACCTCCTACCGACCACCGTTGTCGGACCACCACCATTTGATGGATCACTATCATCTACCGCATTGCCACCACCTGTCAGCTTATCCTACTCACCGGAGACCACCCCTACCCCTATCTTTCTCTCTCTTCACAAAACCATCTCCACCTTCATGATTTTCAGAAAACGAAAATACCACCACCACTACTAGCTTTTGGTGACTTGTTCTGGTAGAGAGGGTTCCGACCACCCACATTTATTGCCCGCTAGATCAACATCCCATCTCCCTTCGCATCACCTGTACGTTCTGGAACACCACCATCTCGTCGTCCTCCCTCCTAAACGACCGTCGGAAACCCTAGTAGCGGTGGCTATGAAAACCGTAGTTTCGGCGGCGGCTTGTGGTTCTAGGTTCATAGTGGTGGTGCTCCAGATCTACAAAAAACAGATGTCTTGGTCGGAGAAAGAAATAGAGTTTGTGACAATGGTTTTTTGTAGGCGAAAGGGGGGTTGTAGCGATGAACTAATTAGGCGAAAAGAATGTTCCGATAATGGTGAGAGGGATAGATAGATCGAGATGATCATGGATGTGGCATCAGACCTCCGTCCACTGTGGGCTTTTCCTCTCTTCTCTTGGTAAACAATTAATGAACAGAACCAGATCTAATTTACTGGTTCGACGAACACGATGTTTCAAACGTTAGCGACACATCAGAGAACGAGAGATTGAGGTAGTGTTGTAACCCCGATATGTAGCTCATCTGAACTTCAAACCCTAAAATAAAGACATATCTGTTTGTTGCTTCATCTTCTGATCTGTTTGGTGGATGGAAAGATGGACGATGTTGTTTATGGTGAAAATGATATGGTGGTTAGCGGTGTTATCCAGCAAGAATGGCAGGTGGGCGACGATGTGGTAATAGTGGGGAAGAAGAAAACGAGAGAGAGAGAGAGAGAGAGAGAGAGATTTATTTTTATTTTTATTTTCTTGTTTTCTTCTAGTTTAAAAATTAGAAACAAATAATAAAAAATATAAAACCATATTAATAGGGACAAATCCATCATTTTGAAAAAAATCATAACATATTGGACCAAAAACGCAACAAAATGAAAGTTTTGGACCACTGGTGCTAGTCTAAACATTTTTGGACCAAAGTGGCAATTTTGAGCAACCCACATGGACCATTAGTGCAGTTTAGTCCTAAATTTATTATGATTTAATGAATCTATAATGTATTAAATTTTACAGAGTTTAATGGATTAAAATATTATATTCTACGATCCATACAATTCTATCATTTTTTTCTAAAATGTATTGAACTCGACAAAATTCAACAGAATATTATAAAAGCTAATTTATAGTATATATTTAAAAATTAAATTTTTTTTTATTGAAGAGTTCAATAACCACTAAACTCCAAATTCTTTGAATACCAATGTAACATTTCATAATTTATAGTGGCACAAACTTTTAATGACATATATTTTGTTGTGCCACTGTTTCAGTGTCATATTTTATATTGTGCCATTGATAACAAAAAAGATTCATAAACTAAAATCCCTCCAAATTTTAATTCCCCCTTTGTACTTACCACCTAAATTTAATTCAAATTAATCAAAATTTGACTTCTGCTAAATTTTTGTTGCCCTCGATTTTGAGTATTACCTTTTTTCCATTACACCTCAATCTACTAAAGTCAAAACTTCCATATCAAATGAGATCATGAAATTTGCTCTCCATTACTACGTTACGATTGGCTCATCCAATACTACACATCAATAATTGAAAACATCTCCATTAGAAGCATCCCCATTTCAAAATTTCTCTTCTCGTTGTGTGTAAATGTGTAATTGTTGTTGGATTTCATCATTCCCCTTGTTAAGGTAATCAACTATATGGCCTTATAGAAATCTAAAATTTATTCTATTAAACTATCAATCTTCTAGTTAGAATTAACCCGATAAAAATGATTTTCTCTCGTTGGATTTCCTTGTTTTTAAGATGAACACCAAGTGTTTGATGAAATTCCTCAAAGAAACATGTATATACTTTTATGTAATTGGATTTACAATTTCTTAATTGTTTGTTCTGATCCAATAGAAATTAAATAACAATATCATTTGGAGGTGCACCTCCAATGACGTGATTTGTTTCACACTAGATGTGTGCAATTATGTAGAGAAATTGCAAAAATTTTCATAAAAAACAATGTGAAATTAAAAATCTCAAACGAGATTTATTAGTATTTCCTAATATCAAGTTGTGTATTCCTCTACCAGTTCTAGATTGTTTATAGTTACTTGTAATTAAACATCGCATGATTATAAAATATAGTTTTTTTGGATTCCATTCATCGTTCATTGTTAAGTTTAAATGTTTTTGTACCATATTTGATTCATTTCTCCATTTATGGTTAGGTTTGATTTGTTTTTACACAAACATCAAGTGTTGGATGAAATTCCTGAATGAGAATATTATGAATCAAACAAAATAGTGTTATCAAAATGTTGTTCCTTTATAGATGCATCTGGCTCTGTCGCCCATGCATTCTCCTTCTTCGTTGAGATGGAAAGCTCTTGGTAAAGAGGTTTTTTTCTTGACTTTATAGCTCCTTACGAATCTAATATAAAACAATAATATTTGTTGTGTAAGTGAACACTTGTGAACTATTACCTCCAGCATTTGCCATAGTGTTTATTTCTTTTTCTTAAATTAATGGTTAGCTTTTTACTCTTTCACTGAATGGCAGGTGATTTTGTCATGCTAAAGCTTCTTGATATACAATTCGATGATGAAAGTTACACAAAACTTGCAGGTTAAACTAATGGTTGTTTTTCACTCTTTTGTTGAATAGTTGATATTTATCTTCATTATTTTTTTCAGGTTTGAGAATGTAAGAAATATGCAGCAGAAATCCTTGTTATGAAAACATAAGTTCCAAGATTGCCTTATCCATATTCAGCCCTGAGAACGTAAAAACAGTTGTGGTTTCCTCCTATTTAGAGGATCAAGGAAGGTATAGTGCCAACTTTACTTTTACATTATCTTTTTTGTCCTTGCCAATTTAGCAGTTCACTTCTTCTATTTGTACAAACTCTTCTTGATGTTGTGAGGTTGAAGGGTGATATTACTATTTTCCTCTTCATCCACCGGAAACTCATAGATCGGTTTCAATCCATACATTCATATGCCAATTTTAATTATTTATTATGTAAAATTCTAAACTATTCAACAAATGAAGTATTTAAATAAAGTCAACTATTAAAGGGTAAGTATTTAGATGGGAAAGAATATCAATGTAAAGTAAAAAGATTAAAATTGAATGAATAAGATGAATACATAAATAATTATCAAATTGTATGCTAAATTGATCATGTGTAAGTGGTTAAAATGCCTTATTTAACAACTTAAATAGATCAATTACTAAATTCTTATACATTTTTTGTAAATCTAAAAAAGCACTTAAACAATAACTCATAACACTTTAAATATAGTCTGCTAGCTGGAGTGTAGGAACAAATAACTAAAAATGGTGTTGCAAGGAAGAATTAAATTTTTTTGTTGGACAAGTTATATTTGTTTAGAATGATTTATTTTTATTAATTTATCATGTTTAGTTCATTATGTTTGTTTTATTCTCAAAACATTTCACATTGTTTTTTATGATCTTGTATTTTTAATTTATCTTTATATTTTTCACCAAATTAGGGCAGTATAATTGATTTTTGTAACTGCTGACATGGTATGCAAAGTACGTTGCAAATTCTTACAATTTACCCTTCTAATGCTTAATGTTGTTAGTTATGCATGGAATAGATAGGAAGGTGCAACTAAGAAATGGAATCATACCTTATGAAACTATATATATAATGCAATAATACGGTAAGAGTTATGTAGTATTCAATAATTTATATATATTAACACCTCACAACATTTCTCGGGGGTAATTAACGTACTGAAACGGTACAAAATAATTTTGAAGGCAAATGAATTTGTGCATAACACTCCAAGAGCGTTGTTGTTTAAAGGTAAAGTCTTTCTAAATATTGTTTTGTAATATTGTTTTTCTGATCGGGAAAAATACAAAAAGTAGGCAACATATATTCACTATTTCGTCAATGTAAACCCTTAACTTTTTTTGTAAAGATTTAAACATCATATTTGATTTAATCGTTTAGAAAAATACAAAAGGTATCTTTATGCTT